CAGCAGCAGCAGCAGCACCTGGGGCTCAGTGTCTCCCCAGGCGCATGCAGCAGGAATGGAGAAGGGCTGCTGCAGTTCTCCAGCGACTCCGTTGTGGATGCTTTGCTATCGTTGTTGCAGCAGCGGCAATCGCAGCAGCAGCTGGACTCGCAGCAACAGCAGCAGCAGCAGCAGCAGCAGCAGCAGCAGCTTGCCCTTGCGCTTGGCGGTGGGGCCCCCCAGCGCTCATCATGTGGGTGGCAAGGGCCGACGCAGCACCACGGCTGTGAGGAGGCTGCTGGGGAGACAGCTGAATCTTCGTTGCTGCTTCTAAAGCAGCAGCAGCAGCACGAGGAGCAGCAGCAGCAACAACAGCAGCAGCTGCTGCAGGAGCAACAGGAAGCGAAACACGCGGGAGATCTGTGCGTGAATGAGGCGGGATCGACGCCGTTGCCAGCCCACTTCCGAGCAGCAAGCAGCAGCAGCAGCAGCAGCAGCAGCAGCATTGCTGCAGCAGGGCCCAAAGAAACAGTGCAGCAGGCGCCCATCCAGCCAGAGGCCATGCTGCAGCTGCTACAACAAATGAGCAGCTGTGGCTCCGTGGCTCACGTGGCTCTCGCGCTGCAGCAGCAGCAGCAGCAACAACAGCAGCAGCAGCAGCAGGAGGCGAACATAAAGCGTATGGCTGAGAGCCTTGGACTGTTGGAGCTCGGTGATAGGCGCAGCAGCAGCAGCAGCAGCAGCAGCAGCTCAGCTGGCGTGGTGTCATCGGAGGCTTCTCCAGCAGGAGTAGCGCTGAGTCAGCAGCCATCTCAGCAGCAGCAACAGCAGCAGCAGCAGCAGCAGCGGCAGCAGCGGCAGCAACAGCTACATACAGAGCAGGAGCAGCAGCTGATGGCTGTGCGGCAGTGTGCACGAAGAGGCAGCGAAGGCTTCGCGGAGACCCGCGGCAGCACGGGGGGCCGCCAGCGCCGCAGGAGAGAGAAGAGGAAGGAGGGGAGGTATTCAGTACCCTTAGCAGCAGGAGACCTTGTAAGTCAATTGATGCTGTTGCTGCTGCTGCTGCTGCTGCTGCAAGTGCTTCTGTTGCTGCATCTGCTGCTGCTACTGCTACTGCTTCTACTGCGGCAAGTACTGCTGCTGTAGCTGGTGCTGCTGCTGCTGCTGCTGCAAGCCCGGTTCAGTGATCGATGCGTCGAAGCTGCCTCCAGCGTTGGCGGTTTAGGGTTTAGGGTTTAGGGTTTAGGGTTTGTGTGTGTTTGTGTGATAAGCTTGAGGGGACGGCGCTGTCACCGAGCTGCAGTTTGCTGCTGGAGGAATGCCGACTCAATGCCAGAGACCTCACACCCCAAGAGCTGAGCTCAGTCCTCGTGCGTCACTACTGCTGCTGCTGCTGCTGTTGCTGCTGCTGCTGCTGCTGCTGCTGCTGCTGCTGCTCCAGCCAGTTCTGTTGCTGCTACCTCTTCGTTGCAGCAGCATCTGCTGCAGCATTTGCTGCAGCGGCTGCGAGTGTGTGCGCTGCTGCATTTGCTGTATCAGTTGCAGGGTTTAGTGTGTTGCAGTGGTGGGGTTGTTGTGTTTATATATTTGGGGTGTATGGTGAGGTTTGTGTTTTTTCTGCAGCTGGATTTCTCTACGAATGCACTAGGGTCCCGCATCATCGTTCATCTTCTTGATAGCAGCACAGATGAAGCACGCCGGCTGATGCTGCAGCAGCTGCTGCCGCATATACGCAGCCTAGCAGCAGACATAGCTGGCAACTTTATCGTACAGAAACTCCTAGATATATGTAAGCAAAGTAGCTCTGCTGCTGCTGCTGTTGTTGCTCTTGCTGCTGCTGCTGCTATCCACTAAAGACACTGTGCTGCAGCTTCTGCTGCTGCGTCTGCCCTGCTGCTGCCGCTGCTGCCCTGCTGCTGTCGCTGCTACCTTGTGGGGTGGCTTCTCGCGGTGTGACAAAACGCGAGCCATCAGCAGCAGGAGGGTGATAGGCTGCTGCTGCTGCTGCTGCTGCTGCTGCTGCTGTTTCTTACCAGGCCCCCCTGAAGAGAAGAAGATGCTGCACGGCCAGATGCTGAAAGACGTGCTGCGGCTGTCTCTGCGCACTTATGGGTGCCGCGTTATCCAGAAAGCTCTTGACGTTCGTCGCTGCTGCTTCTGCTGCTGCTTCCGCTGCTGCTGCTGCTGCTGCTGCTGCTGCTGGGGTGGTTGAAGCTGCTGCTTGGCGTACTGTGGTGATGCAGAGAAGCTGGTGCTGCCGCTGCTGGCAGCAGGAGCTGTTCGCTGCTAAGCAGCAGTTGCAGCAGTCGTCTGCTGCTGCAGCAGCAGCAGCTCTTAGCTGCTAAGCAGAATCACGTTTATATGCCTGAATCGAGTGCGTTGATATGTGCTGCTGCTGCTGCTGCTGCTGCTGCTGCTGCTGGTTGCTGCAGGTGTTGGACGATGAGGATAGAGTGGCTGTGGCTAAGGAACTGGAGGGCAACGTGCTGACCTGCATTGGCGACCAAAATGGTGAGAGAATATCCTGTCTCCTCTTCTCTCCCCTACACAGCATAAATTTATTTTTTCAGGATTTTTCTTTGTTTTCTAGATGCTGTCTCCTTTCTCCTTTTGCATCTACATGGGGTCTTCTGGCTCCGTCTGGTTGTTTTTTTTTTTCTGGTGTTTCTCTGTCTCTGTCTCGTCCGGCTTGGCTGGCGGTGTGCGTGTAGCAACGCCTAGTCACGGATGCCTCTCGGCGCCTTCTAACTGTGTGTTTGTTTTTGCTGCTGCTGCTGCTGCTTTTGCTGCTCTTGCTGCTGCTGCTGCTGCTGCAGGCAACCACGTGATTCAGAAGTGCATAGAGAGACTACCAAAAGGAGGAGCTCAGTTTATCCTCGATGCTATCGCTGGACAGGAGGCGGCCCTGGCTTCTCACTGTTACGGTTGCCGCATCATTCAGAGGCTGGCAGAGGCTTGCGACATAGACCAAATTGTTAGCACCAACATAAACCCTAATCATAAACCCTAATAAACCCTAAACCCTAAACCATACACTAAACTAAACTGCACAGCAACCACATACAACGCAACAAGCAACCGCGGGATGGCTCGTTCCTTTCTCGATTTAGGGTTTAGGGTTCATCGTCTAGGGTTGGGGGTTTATGGCTTGGGGTTCAGAGTTCAGGGCCTAGGGTTTACGTTTTTAGTCTAGCATTTAGAATCTGGTGTTTGGGGTTTAGGATTTAGGGTTTAGGGTTAGGATGTATGGTGTAGGGTTTGGGCTTGAGGGGCTAGGGTTTAGGGTTTTAGTGTTTTAGTGTTCATGTGTTGCTGTTGCTGCAGACCCCCGTCCTCAACGCTGTGATGGCCTCCCTGCCCTCTCTAGCAGAAGACCAGTTCGGGAATTATGTTATTCAACACCTGCTGGAATACGGCAGAGAGACAGACAAACAGTGAGCACCAGCAGCAGCAGCAGCAGCAGCAGCAGCAGCAACAGCAGCACAGCACGCCTCGCCTCTGGGGTGTATGCGCAGCTTTCCATGGCCCAGTGAAGTGTATCACTATGCCTATCCTTTGGGGTGTATGCACAGCCTCTCGTGGCGCAGTGGGCCTCTACTTTGTGGTGTATGTACAGCGTGTCGTGTGGTGGGTGTGTTGGCTGCTGCTTTACCTTCAGGGAGATTTTGGAGTTGCTGAAGGCTAACCTCTCAAAGCTAGCGACGCAGAAATACGCGTGGTGAGCAGCCCTGCTTGGATAGGTGGCGTTAGGGTTTAGGGTTTAGGGTTTAGGGTTTTGGGGTGTAACGGGATCTAGGGCGTCGGGTTTGGGGTTGTGAGGGTGTCGAGGGTTTAGGGTTTATGATTGAGACTGGACTTAGTACGGGTTTACGTTTTATGGTTTCCGCCGCGAAACACCAAGACAAAACAGCGCTGACGTTCTGTGCTGCTGTGCTGCTGCGTGTGGGGTGTATCTGCAGCAATGTCGTGGAGAGGGCTTTAAGCCTCAACACTCTCGGGCGGGCACAGGCGGAGTTGATTGCCGTGGCTCTCAAACCAGATCCCCAGTAAGCGAACAAAACCCTCTGCTGACGCTGTTGTCTCCTGCTGCTGCTGCCTACTGCTGCTGCCTGCTGCTGCTGGCTCCTGCAGTTGCTCCGTGATGCTGATTCCTGCTGCTCGTTGGTGTTGCTACTCCCTCTTCTCCTTTTTTTCTGACCCATCGGTTACACGTGTATAGAGGTGTGTGTATGCATTCCGTATAGCATAGATGCGTTAGCTCCTGAGAGTGTGGTTGAAGTGTCAGGGTGTTCTGAGCCTCCTCCTCAGTGTTTGGGGCTGGCGACGCTGACGCTGCTGTGTGCATGCATGCATGTACAGGAAGGGCGCTCCCGTGACGGCTTTGATGCTGGATCGTTACGGAAACTATGTGGTCCAGCGAATGGTAGAAGTTGCAGAGGGGCAGCAGCGGGTGCAGCTCTTCCACCGCCTCTTAGAGCAGTTGCCGCTTCTCCGCAGCTGCACTTACGGTGAGCAGACCCCACAGATGCTGCAGAACCTTGAGGGGCTTGTCTGTGTCTTTATCGTAAGAGACAGCAGCAGCAGCAGCAGCAGCGGGAGAGCTATGCTGCTGCTGCTGCTGCTGCTGTTAGTTGCGTTTTTTTTTCTTTTTGGGTGAAAGTGGAATGGGTGTACTTGTGGTGCTGCAGGCAAACACATTGTGGCGGCATTGGACCGTCTGGATATCAGCGGCAGCTGTCCAAGCGAAGCAGCAGGAGCTGCTGCTGCGACGACCGCAGCGCCCGTACTACCATTGAGGCGCCGTGGATCAACCCTGCAGCCGCAGCAGCAGCAGCAGCAGCAGCAGCAGCAGCAAGCAGGACTTGCTTCTCCCCCCGCAGGTCGGCGCAGGACTGTGCCCCAAGACCAACGCAGTCAGCGCCAGGGGAGGAAGCAGCAACACGCCTCCCTCAGAACAGGAACCAGGCCCAAGGCAGCGAAGAGTGAGGGGGGCCCCCAAGACATATTAGGTGGGTTGGTGGACCGCCGCCTGCCGCGGGAGGGGCGCGGTTCAAGAAAGCCCACAGGAACGCAGCGCAATCTTTCTATCGCAGCTGCAGGGGGATTAACTCAGCAGCAGCAGCAACAACAGCAGCAACAACAACAGCAGCAGCAGCTGCTGATGCTGCTGGAAGGGAGGCGGGACTGTATACCGCCCCAGGCAGCGGAGACGGGCCAAGGCCAGGGGCCCTTCAGCATCCGCCCGAAGGCCGTCTCAGCTGTACCGACTGCAGCTGCGCGGCTGCTGTTAACTGACACCCCGCAGCAGACGCATGCAGCAGTGCAGAGTGCTGCAGTGGAGGGTTTGGGGCTGCTAGCTGATCTGCCTTGTGGCCCTCCACTTGCAGGACTGAAGAATCCGAGGATCGCCGCTGCTGCTGCGGATTCATTTGTCTTTGGAGGCGTCGACAGCAGCGGAGGGGCGGGGCCTCCCAGACCCAATGCCCTATCAGACCTGCTCAGCATCTGGGGGGGACAGCAGCAGCAGCAGCAGCAGCAGCAGCAGCAGCAGCAGCCGCTGCAGCAACAACAGCAGCAGCAACCGTCTCTGTGCAGCACTGCAGACGCCGGCGCCCCCGAACCTTTCGAGGGACCCGTAGGCGAGCAAACAGGCAGTGCAGCAGGCAGGCGGGATGAGTGGAAGTGGGGACAGACGCCTTTGTTCTTTCATCAGCCTACACCCCCGTCTTGGTAGCCACAGCCAGCCAGCTGTCATTCAGTGCTGCTGCAACAGACACAGCAACAGCTGTGCGCCGCAACCGGAAATAAGAGAGCAAATGCGGCAACACACAGTGTAACGCCAGCAGCAGCAGCAGCAGCAGCAGCCGTAGCAGCAGCCGCAGCAGCCGCAGCAGCAGCATTTATCAATGTGGAAACAATGGTAGCTGGAGAGGCAACAGCAAGCCCAGCAGTAGCCACAGCAGCAGCAGCGGAGAGGAGAGGGGCAGTCTTTGCGTCGTTATATCCCATCTCTATGCAGCTGCAGCAGAACAGCACCATAGACAACTGGGGCTGTGTAATTTATATCAATAGTTGTTGTGGCTGTTGCGAAGCAGCGTAAAAGAAGGGTGAAGGTCTTCTCTCTATCGAGCCAACTCGTGCTGGAGCAGAGCAGGCTGTTCATCTCTTGCCCTAGGTGTGGGGGCACACAGTGACAGTGACAGAATTTTGACAGAGACAAGACACTGAGAAGCGTGTGTAGTCTCTGATGCCTCCAGTTGAGTCATTTGTGTCTTAAAATATGTTGTTGTTGGGAGACGGCCCTAGGGGACATATGCCCTTGATGAGGCCCCACGTGTTCTTCGCCCCCAAAGAAATGCATAAAACAACACAACAAGAGAGGGGCCGATGAAGGAACGGTGGCAGGTGCGAGTTCCGCAGTATTTATTTATTTATTTATTCAGCGGCGTCTCAACCGGTTCCTCATCTCTATGATGTTGTCTCAGGTCATACATATTTTGAATTGAGTTCAGCTTCTTGGGAAAGAAGTAGCAGCAGGTGCAGGAGCTGCTGGTGATTCTAGCGGTCCCATCCCGACTCTTGTTATTGACATTGTTCCTTCTGCTGTTACTACTGTTAATTTATTGTATTGTTTCAAGTGCGAGGTCGTCTGTTGGGGCTTGGAGACAGCAGCATGATGCTCTGTCCTTGCACAGGGGACCCATATATACATATTATATTTTAGTGCTGATTTTATTGCGCAACGTCCCCTCCCTTTGTTGAGGCTTGTGTAGCGTTCCGCTCCGTTCCTAATGATTAAAAACGGGGTTTTGTGTGTACTTGCGTGATCTCCACTCAAGGAGTGGATGACATGTGCCGTGTAGAGAGCAGCACAAGAGCTGCTTCATTTCGATTTTCAAATGACACCGCCTGCTATCAGCGGTGTCCTGTGTCTGAGAGCATCAGCGAGGCCGGCGATGAGGCCCCCATGCCTTCGTCCCTCAAATGCTCTTAGTTAACAACGAACAGATTCGTATTATCACAGCAGTGCTGTGCCTCTAGACAGGGTGCAGCTGGCGGCAAGGGACCAAGATGTGGCTGTATGTATGATTTTGTTGTGCATGCACTCTGCCGCCGTTGCGAGCCGAAGTGCGCTGCCGGGATGCAGGTCTCATACAGGTAGTGGCAGCATCTCGCAGGGATGTGAGCCGTCCTTCGCTTGCGGGGCAGCCGCCTGAAAGGCGTTGCAACGCGGGCAGCCAAAGTGCAGCTGTCTCTTGTTTTACAATGTGGCCTCCGGGCGGGACCGTAGCCCTCTTTGAAGTGTTACTCTGAGGTGTTGCTAAAACCCTTGCTATCCGTCTAATGTCTGCTTTGTCTTTTCCTTGTTACACACAAAACTAACCACTCACACGATAAACCAAACTACAACGCAGAACAGCTGCATGATGGCCTCTAGCAGGGCTCGACACATAGATAAGCAGCGAACACGTAGGGTTATGAAAGAGCTGCATGTAATTCAGGAGAGAAAAGAGGCGAACTAGCAAAACCCCCAAACACGGATGTCACAGCCTATACTGGTTGCTGCGGGGCTCCTAGTGTTGAGGTAGTAGTACCCAGGTGCAGTGTGGCAAGCACTAGAAAAAACTTAAATTAAAAAATGTAGTGACCGATAGATTTCAATATTCTTGTGAAGCATATATTTAATAATATATGAAATTTTTTACTAATATTTACTCATATTATTCTCGTACTTTGTAGTGGCTGCTGCTTCACATGAATATATTGCAACATACGCTCTGAGAAAACAACAGTTTTCCCCTCCGTAGATTTACTCATCAGTTCTACTAACTAAAGTGAATGTTCAAAACTCCAAGCAGCTACAGCGCCAATAACCAACTGTATATATAACCAACTATATATATATATATATATATATATATATATATATATATATATATATATATATATATATATA